GTGCCGGTTTTGGAAGCTGAGACCTTTTAACAAGGATTTTGAACGTGATGGGAGGATCGGTGAATGGAGTTTGTGCATGAGGTTCATGGAGGTGTCCTCCCCAGCCACTCAGGGCTGGCAGGACCTCTGCTTGAGCACTGTGCCCAGTTTTGGACACAACGTTTCTGTAGATACAGACCAGAGAGCCCAGAGAAAAGCATCTGGGAAAATGATCACCTTGTACATACGGTGAGGAGGAGAAGGGAGCCTGAGGAGCTGCATGAGTCTTTGAGTGTGTAAAAGGTAATGTCCCAGTCATAGGTAAAAGCCCCTTTTCTGTTCTTCTTGAGTGGGACAAATGGTAACGTGAGGAAATAATAGAAAAGAATCCAGGTCAGGCAGTAGGAGATTGTTCTAAGAGCATGGGGAAGCACTGGAAGGTCACTCAGGGACCAGCTGTCGCTTGGAGGGCTTGAAAGGACTCAACAAGCCTGTTGCTCCTGGAGGGCAGGTAGAGGTGATCCTGCCGGGGGGTAGGGCATTAGGTGACCCCAAGAGACTCTTCCAAGGCTATTGTATCTTTGGAAAGTGCTGAGTTTCTCTCTGACTTGGGGTGCTTCTCTGTGTCTGCACATGGCATGTTTGTGCTCTCGGGGAGAAAAGTGCAAGTGTGCTGCACTTCCATGGGGTGTGCTGGGAGAGCACACCACTCATCGCGGCTGCTGGGAGGCTGTTACACGCTGCCCTCACAGGCAGGATCTGCAGGCATTGCTGGGGCAACGTGCTGGCAGCAGGCCTGGTCTGCAGTGTGCCCATCTCTGGACAGCCTGCATCCTTCAGAGGTCCTGCTGCAGGAGCAGTTCAGAGGCTCCTACCTCTATGGCTGCTCCATCTTGGGTCACTGTGAGATGTCTGACATCATGCTGCCAGCCCACCACTGCCCACTCAAGACTGATCTTTTCCTGGGCTTTTTATTCCAGCAACCCCACAGAGACCAAAGGATCCCATCCTCATCCTTTCTCCTCACGTGTAGGACTTGTTTCAAGGATTCCTCCTCTTCCTTGGCCTGCCCCTCTTTTCCCAGACTGATGATCTGGCAGGGTGCTTTGAAACCCATCAAGAAATGGCTTTGCCATCCCTGCTTGGCTTCTTGCTCTCAGGATTTCAAGAACTGTCTGATGGCAGAGTTGGGTCCAGCCTGTCCTCTTCCAGAGGACCATGCTCTGTGGTGATGCTGTTGAGCATTTGTAGATTCAAGGACTAAAGTCAGAGAGAACTGTAGATCTTCAGATCTGATTTTCATGTGGTGCGGGCTGTATTTTCATCCCAGCTTGCTCCGCCTGCAGAGCCCTTGTAGTGCCTCTTCCAGAGCGGCAGCAAGTTTGGACCCAAGAGTGTGTCAAGGTGGAGACTTGCACACTTCCCTGACCGTCTGCTCCTGTGGTTTATTGCCTTCATGAAAATCATCTTCCCTGTTTCAAATTTGTCTAGTTTATCCTTGCTGGCAGTGTTTTTGTCCTTTCCCTCTGCCAACAAGTACTCTCCTACCTTCCGATAACTCAGAAGAAGCTCCTACCTCCTGATAACCTGCACATCAGCCCTCTGTCACCAGTCCACAGGGAGCCATCTGTCTCTCTGTGTGACAGGATTTCAGTGGACTTTACAGTATATTAATCTGGGCTTGTCCCAGTGGGACTGCCCAGTTGGTGCTGATCATTTTGCCACCAATTTAATTGGCATACCACTCGATGGCGGCTAGCTGATCATGAGAGCATGCTGGCTTAAACCAAATGTCTTACAGATGCTGGGGACCCTGGAGTTATTGTTACTACTCAAAGCTAAGTATAAATTAACTCTCACCCTTCGCAGTGAGATCCTTATTCAGCCGCTCCCATCCTGCCTCTGCTGTGTGGTGGGAAAAGGGCAGAGCATGGCTGCTGTGCCCGAGGTTAGCGTCCCACCTGGAGGGCTGTGGGGCTCGGTGCCACCCGCCCAGCCAGAGCGCCCGTGGCCAGGACCACACGGCCGTGGTGGCTGGGGCTTGCACCCGGGTCTGTGTCAGCAAAACCAGGAAGGTTCCAGTGTTTGGGAGCTCTCGGCTGCTCCCTCGCCAGCAGGTATCATTCGTGTGCGTGCTCCCGGTTGCAGGTAGGATTTTGGGGCTCTCCAGCCTGTCTCCCCACTGGGGCTGCAGGCACAACCACCCACCTCCAGCAGGGCTCCGCGCCGGCACGGACCTCGGGAGCACTGCCGTGACCTCCCCTGACTGGGAGCCCTGGGGCAGACTGGGCCAGCAGGGCCTTGCCAGCGGAAGATGCAGGACTGACTTTCTGTGATGGCACAGCCAGTGTCTGGCCAGGCACAGCCAGCACCGTCCCCCACCTCCCTTTTGGGCTGATCCAGGCCGCATGCAGCGGTCCTTGGGCCCTCCACCACCCCAGCCATAGTCATAGAGCCCCACGAGGACAGGGGCTCGGCATCCCCCCTGCCCGGTGGGCAGGGGCTGACCGCTCCTCCCAGGCCCTGGTGCCCAGCCAAGCGCACGTGCCTTTTCCAAAGCTGGAGGCTCTGCTCTACCAGGAATGTGGTCTGGGAAGAGGTGGTGGTGCCGGACATAGGGGCTTGATCTGTGTGTTCTGGAGAGCTGCGGGAACTGGCTGTGCAGCCCTGCAGTGTCCCATCTGCTGGAGGAGTGGGGTTCGGTGTCCCTCCACACCTGCTTGCCTCTGAAGAGCTGGGCACAGAAGAAGAGCCTGCTCTGAAGACCTGTCTGGGGGGTCTCCCAGCTGCCGTGGAGAAGAACTCTGTGTCCTTTCTGTGCTAGCCTGCAGGACAGCCCTCACCAGAGAGCCAATGCCTACCTCTGCAGTGGCTGCTGCAGCAGAGGATGTGGGGGGACGTTTGAAAGTATTTGAAGACCTGTCCCCATCCCAGAACATGTGAGCAGAGCTGCTCTGGCAGGAGGCAAGGAGGACAGGCTGGCAGTACGAGGCCCCAGAGCTGGAGCAGGGTTCCTGGTGCTGGGAAAGAGCAGCTGGACCTACCTGGTGCTGCTTGCTAATGGGAGAAGCTCCACAGGGCTCCATCTCATGGGGGTAAAAAGCATCTCTCTCTACCTTAGACATGGGCACTCCCTTGGTGGAGGTGTCCTGCTGGAAGGAGTCCTCCTAATATTGGCATGCTCTCCCCCATGGCACTGATGGATGGAGAGTCTGCAGGAGAGCTTGAGGGGCTCTGCCTGCTACAGGTCTGGTTTGGATGGGAGAAGCACCCTGCAGATAGGTGTCAACCTGAGCATGTTGGAAGACCCTTGTGCCAGCTGAACTGTCTTCCAGTGCACAGGACTCAGATTAAAACCAGCCCCTGGGATGGGCAGGGTAGAGGAACCTGCAGCTGGGTGGTATCACAGGATATGAGAGCATGCTGCTGGGGGAGAGCCTCATGGTCACCGCGCTGGAGCCTGCACCAGGGCCCCAGCGGAGGTAGTCTCCCATGGCTAAAACTACGATGTCTGTTGCTAGCGTTTGGTATGGGGCCAACTAGACAGCAGCAGCCATGATGAGTGCATGTGTTTCTAAACCATTGCCCAGCCACTAGCTAGCCTTCCAATGTTGGTGCTAGCGTGTCAGGAGGGATGGTGCACACAATCTGTACATACACACAGGTATAACGTGGGCCGTGATCGCCCTGTGAAGGTCTCCGCTTGTATCTAGCAAGAAAGCAGGTCCCTGCAATTGTGCCATCTGCGCCTGGTACAGCGATGCCTTTGGTGCCCAAACCTGAGTCCTCTCTTGCAGCATGTGATACAAAGGGTCAAAGGAGATGGGGTAACCCTGAAACCTGCTCCTCAGCTTCTTGGTCTCCAGCATATGTTCTCTGCACTGAGCAGATGGCCCTGGGCTTTCCCTGGAGAAGAAGGGATGGGAAGTAAGTCCATTTTGTTCCAAGTAGAGACCATGGCTGTGGGCAGATGGCTGTGCATTCTGGGCACTGCTGTCTGAAAGCTGTCCCTGCTTTCATCCCCAGGGAGGCAGTGGCCCTGCACACGGCTCAGCCTCAGGGCTGCCTGCCCTGGTATTCTGCTCTCTGAGCTGCAGGCACAGAGCAGGGCCACTCCAATGCTGTGGCTGCTGTTTCTGGTGTCGCAGTGACAGCAGGGCGGAAGGCATGGCTGCCATCCCCAGTGCTGGCCTGCAGCAGTGGGCATAGTGTGCATGGTGGTCAGGGCATGGTTGTGGCTGCCTTACATAGCAGGGCTCGCTGCGGCAGGGCAGAAACCCTTCCCATGGAGTGGAAGGTGCAGGCTGAAACACTTCCATCCGGGAACTGCCCAGTGCTGGTATAGCGGGACCAAACCACTGCACGGGGTGCCACAGCTCAGGGTGTCCCCAGCAGCAGTGCCTGACACCCACAGAGGCTGGTGGGATCGCCATGTGGCAGAAAAAAAACAAAGCTTTTCTGATCTCAGAGTTGATGCTCAGGAACTGCCAAGCAATGTTGGCCTCTCGTCATCTGTGCCCTGGAGTCCAAGCAGAATGAGCTGCTGGTCTGCTCTGGGGTCGCTGCTTGAACCTGTTGCTGTGACCCCAGGGATGCCAGAGTCTTCAGGAGGAGAGGAGCGAGGCACACGGGTGGCTGGTCTCTGCTGGGCCCTGCATGGCTGCCCTCCTCTCCAGAGTGCTGCTGCTGCCTGCCCAGCTCTGGTGGGACAGGAGCTCTCTATCCCATCTCTGTGTCAGAAGCGTGTGTGTGTACACCACCGTGGCATCTATCCTCAGGTCCTGGGGTCAGCAGTCC